GAAAGAGAGAAAGCAAGCCACCAGGTCTGGGACTCAGACCACGGTTGGCCATGTAGGAATCCAGTGCCTTTAACCACCATGCTGCCCACCATGTTGCCCAGTTATTTTTGCTATAGGGCACATGCACTCACCAGAGACAGAGAGACAGAAAGCGAGAAATCACCCCCCAGGGGAGATGGCCACGCCACAATCCCTTCTCCTCCATTCTCTCGGGATCTTGGGCACGCACGCACATGCACCGGGCGTGAGTTTAAGCCACTGGGTCCGGGACTCCAACCATAGTTAACTACATGGGAGTCCAGAGACATAGCCATTATGCTAACTGCTGGTCCTGCTCCTTATAATCTTCCTGTGGTAATGTCTAGATTTGGGGGAAATCGAAACTATGTCCCTTTCATTAAAAATGTGGACGACCACAGGCCCTGCAGTGTAGCAATTAAATACTGCAGAGAGGAAGCTGGATTCCACATGGCCAACCAGGGTTCAAGTCCCAGCCTATTGGGTACATGTGCCCAGAATCCTGGCAGGATGGAGAACTGGAGGAAAAAGCATGGCAGTGGGAGAAATGTCACACGGGGGTGGAGGAGAGGGTGTGCACTCTTTCTGTCTCTCTCTCTCTTTCTTTATGCATGCACACATACCTTCTGTCATTAGAGAAATTAAAAAAAAAAAAAAAGGGAAGACCTGGCTCAGTAGCACACTGGATGGCAGTGCTGGAAGTCACATGGCTTGGCACAGGCCCGAGATCCCGAGGAGTTGGAGGTCGGGGACAGTGGTGTGATGAGACCCGTAAGGGGGCTTTCTCTCTTTTGCCCATGCACATGTGCTAGCTTTCAAAATACGTATATGGAAGACCTGCTCTGAATGCTGGAGGGATGGACAGACAGACAAATGGGTGAGGGAATAAAGAAATCCTTGCTCTTGGGGCCAGCAGATGGCATAGCGATTACATCACTGTACTCCCATAGGGCCGACTGTGGTTTGAGTCCCAGACCTGGTGGCTTGAAAATCACCCTGGGCACATGAGCCAAGTGTGTGTCCGAGATCGTGGGAGGAGAACGAAGAAGAAGAGACTGAGGTGTGGCCATCGCCCCTGGGGGGGGGGGGATCTCTCACTTTCCCTCTCACCATCTCTGTCTCTCTCTCTCTAGCAAACACACACATCCTAAGGCAAAAACCTCTAAAAAAAAAAAAAGAAAAGAAAAAGAAAAAGAAAGAAATTCTTGCTCTGTATGGGGTCCTCAGTACACATTCATTCTTCAGATATACCATCGGACCCCACTCCCCTACTCAAACCCTACTGTGCACTCCTCTCGGGGATAGGACCCCAGATGGGGGTACATATCAGCCGACAATTCTGCTCTGAGATTCTCATCCAAGTAACCAGGATCTAATCTCGTGCCCACGAAGAGTGTTTCAAACAATCATACTCACCAGGAGAATTAGTAGGAACTCCCCCCACCACCACCACCACCAAACACATGGCTCAGTTAGAAATGAAGGGTCTCTGAGAGGGATATGCCAGTTCCTACTTGCCGGGGCTGGGTCCTTGTTGCATCTGGTACCCTTAGAACGAGAGGGATGCTTCTAGACCAGAAGCTGTCTGGTCCCAGTGTAAATCCAGCCAGCGCTTTACCTCTGCTTGACAGCCCTTCTAGGTCACGGTGCAGGGGTGAGCTGCTAGCTTCACGCAAGTACCTCTCCTTCCTCGCTCTCACCTTTTTCAGCTTCTAAATTAAACTGCAAGAGCTGCAGATGGTAAGGAGACCATAAGTAATGCAATGTAGTGTGTCTTCATTTCAGATTAATGGGATAAACCTCTAAATTACTTATGAAACCATGAAGTTGCCAGTAAGTCTGTGTGCATGTCTTTTTTATTTATTTATTTATTTATTTATTTATTTATTTTGAGAGGTTTTTGCTATAGGACATGTGTGCTCGCCAAAAAGACAGAGAGACAGAGAGACAGAAAGCGAGAAATCACCCCCCAAGGGGATGGCCACCCCACTGTAATCCCTTCTCCTCCATTCTCCTCTTGGGATCTTGGGCACGCACACACACACACACCCCCGGTGTGAGTTTAAGCCACCAGGTCCGGGACTTGAACTGCAGTCCACTACATGGAAGTCCAGTGACATAGCCATTACACCAACTGTTAGTCCCGACTGTTTTAACTTGAAACCAAAGGAGGCTGCTGTTCTTTGTGGAGGCTCTCTTCCATTGTCAAACTGGACAGCACCATTGCCAACAGCGAGGCCCCATGTTCCCAGGCCATCCAGTCCTGGCTGCCCACGGCCCCTTTGAATTCAGAAACGAGGCCTTCTGGGACCTGGCCTATAGCCTAGTAGATCAGGAAGCCAGATTCCACGTGGCTGACCATGGTCTGAATCCCAGCCCTGGTAGCTTGAAAGATACAAGCTGGGTGCATGTACACAAGGCCTCATCCTGAGAGGATGGAGAAATGGAGACGGGAGTATGATATGTCCAGGCCCCACAGAGGGGAGGCGCTCTCTCTCTCTCACCTTCTCTCTCTGGTGAACCGATGGCTTAAAAAAAAAATAACTCTGAAGACTTTTTTAGTTTAGTTTTTTTTTTTTCATCCTGCTCTTCCCAGGAAGAGTACAAAGGTCATGATGGGTGAGTCACAAGCTCCTTCCAGCTTCCAGTCAGTAAAGCCAGGGGGAGGGTTTACCAGAGGCCTCCCCTCTCAGCTGAGAGTCTGCCAGGCATTTGGGAATGAAAAGTTGCAACCATGTGTCTCAGCAATAGAAAGGAAAATAAAACAGGCCTTGCTTTTTCTCCAGGGCGGCTGCTCTGGGTGGACCCCTGGGCCGTCAGGGCCTGCTGGACAGATACATTTATGTGCTATGCGGAGGACAAAGCCTTCTTAAACCTGCTGGGACCATGGGAACCTCGCCGGAACCTTCTGACTACGGTGAAAGTTTTTTCCTGTGGCAGCTGAGCGTCAACAGAGGTGTCACCCGGGCTTAAACACACGAGCTTTCTGGAGGGAGTCAGCATGTGTCTGGTCTAAGCAGCATCTTTGGGTCACCTCCCGAAGCCACCAGGAACGTGGTCACAGTAACAGAGTCTGCCCCACAGGATTATTCTAAGGACAGGATGAGACCATGCGTATGAGGAACACAGCCCCGGGGCTGTGAGCACACAGTAAGCACTTAGTAACTGCTGTTATCCTATTTTTATTTATGTATTTATTTTAAGAGAGAATTTTGCTATAGGGCATGTGCATTTGCCAGAAGAGAGAGAGACAGAAAGCAAGAAATCATGCCCTGGTGGGGGGAGGGGGATGGCCTCACCGCAATCCCTTCTCCATTCTCCTCTTGGGATTTTGGGCAGACACACACGCACACATACCCAGCATGAGTTTGAAGCCATTGGGTCCAGGACTGGAACCACAGTGGGCCATGTGGGAGTCTGGTGACGTAACCATTACGCCACCTGCTGGTCCCACGCTATTATTCTATTTATATTGCACTTGTGGTGCACGAAAGTCCTTACAACGGTTTTAATTTTGTAAAACACATCAAGGATGTGCTCTGATGGAGTGAAGTGTAATTATTTATATTTGTTGGGTAACACAGCCCTTCCGGCTGGAAGAGTCCTCCCTTAGGAGAGGTTTTACAAACTGTAGTGGGTGAGGCGCGTCCAGAAAGGGTTAGCGACTGTTTTTTTCTGAAATACCAAGGACTTGACTGTCTAAGCCCCGGCCAGCTCTGTTTGCAATTAGCCTGTTCCGGGGTCACAGCAACTTCTTGAGCTGTCTTCCCCTCCACCCGAGCGGTCACCTGGGAGGGCGTGGGTGGGCGAGTGATCCTGGGACAATCACCCGGGTGTCAGGCCCACTGCCCACAGGCTGGAAGTGGCCAAGGAGTGGAAGTCACCACAGCTGTCCCTCCTTCGGTGCCCACCTGTCCCCAGTGACAGGGCTCATGTGTACAGAGCTGAGAGTGACTGTCACCAGTGCAGTTTAACTAAGGCGATTCGTTTCACCACTGCTAGTGGCTTGGCTTCCCTGGGCCTTACCTTAACATGGGTGGCCAGACTCAGAGAGCCAAGGTTGCTGAGGCTCTTTCCTCCCTTCTGTGATCCAGAGACCATCCAGCCCCTACCTAGAGAGTCCAGTCCTACCCCAATGCCAGCACATGGCCCACCCTCCAGGCCACCCCCACAAGGCTAAAATCCTGGCAGAGAAGGACACATACCACAGTGTGATGATTAATCTTATGGGCCAGACTGATGGGGCCACAGAGTGCCAGACGCTTGCTGAACCATGATTCTGGGTATATCTGAGAGGCTGGTTTTTTTTGTTGTTGTTTATTTGTTAGTTTTTTTTTTTTAGAGGTTTTTGCTATAGGGCGTGTGGGCTCACCAGACAGAGAGAGACAGAGATAGAAAGCGAGAAAACCCCCCCCAGGGGGGTGGCCACGCTGCAATCCCTTCTCCTCCATTCTCCTCTCGGGATCTTGGGCACGCACGCACACGCACCCTGCATGAATTTTAAGC